CTTCCATCCTGAACGTGCGGTGCAGGCGAGGAAGACGTTTTAGAGTAGGAAACTGATACATATAATTAAACTGATCCCATGGAGTCACCAGAGCATCCATGGCGAAGGCTAGAGGATCCGTGGACCTGGAAACAAACTTGTTCAGTTTGTTTTTTAGCCTGGAAGACAGGGGATCCTGTTTCGGCATGCCCCACCTGTTAAAAAGGTCTTGAAACACCTCATGATAAAGAGGCTATTCTTCTCCAGACAATAATGACTGAAGAAGCATGCCTGCCATTTTTTTACAATGGGATATGCACAGTAGAAAAGGCTGGAATGTTAATCTCTGTTCAAGTCAGAACCTTGTTGGCTTGTCTTTCAGCTGCAAGACATCTGGTTCCTCCCCGGTGGTTGATGTAAACCACTGCCTTGGTGTTGTTTGACTGGATCTAGGTCAAATTACTTTGTAGTCGAGAGGTCCAGCACTGAAGAAATAACCAAATCCCTCTACCAGGATGTTGATCGGGGACCAAGTCCTTTGCAACGGGAAGGGTGCCCAGCCCAAAAGGCTATCATCTGTCTTGAGAACCTTCTAGAATAGCATTAGAAACAATTTCCACAACGCCAGGTCAGGATTTGAGAGCCACCAAGCCAGAACAATCCCAGTTTGGGTTGGGCAGTCAGGCATATATGCAAGGGTCCAGAGACTGGGCCTTCTTGTCCCATGCAGCCAGAATGTTGAGTTGCAATCACCTGGAATAAAATTGGGCATATGGAACTGCTTTCAAAGAGGCTACCATTAAGCCCAGATTCCCCATCAAAGGACAGGGTTGGTGGACTCCTGGACTGTAGCGTGCAAACATGGGAATGGTTTGGAGGATGTCCTCTAGAAGACCCTGGACAGAGCAGTATCCAGGAAAAGGCTTAGACATTGTAAGCAATGAGTCTGTTCCAACTCTGACTTTTGTAGGTTCAAGATCCACCTGAACCACTGCAGAATTTGAACACTTAGCTGGACATTGACTTACAGGGTCAATCTCTCAGTTTAAGGTCATTCCGGTATTCCATTGTGGGAATGCCTCAAGAACAAAGCGGAGCAAGTACAGGGGCTGAAGTACAATACATCCCCCTGCACTCCTCACAGCGTCTCCAGGCCGAATCACAATGATGGTGCTCGCAGTGATACTCACGGATGGCGCCGTGCATATCAAACAGCAAATGAACAGGAATCACCAGCACTCAGTGGCAAATATTCAAAAGATAAAGTCAATTTAATCAGACAAATCATCATACATGTTGCAATGATTATAACCAATGTTTCGGGGTTACGCAGAGAACCTTCATCAGGGCAACAATGTAACACACACAACACAAGTACAGGGGCTGACACCTTGGTGAAAATTTGAGGTACAATGGATAGACAAAAGGGAGGGCCACAACCTGCAAAACACATTGATGTGCCAGAGAGATGGGGACATGGAAGTAGGTATTTTTGATGTCTACGGAGGCCAGAAAGTCCCCCAGATGGAAGGAGAACCTTTAGATCCAGAATGGAGTGAATGCCCCCATACACTTTGGGAACTGTCATCAGGTTTAATCAGATACCCTAAAACCTTTCCTTTTATGGAACAATGGCTTTCTGGAACAAAATCTCTTTCCTTGAGAGAGAAGCTGCGCCAGAATAGAGACTGAAATCCTAACTTGTAGGCCCTGGATACAATGTCCACCACCTAAATGTCTGAAATGTCCTGGGACCAGGTGGCTGCAGAGGCCAACAGACACCCCCACTGTGATAAGTGTTATATTTACAGCTGAAGTTTAATCTGCCTGCCCCTCCCCATCAACATGCTAATCACGTTTTTAAATAAAGCTTTTTTGTTTTATTACATACCTTATTGTATAATTAGTGATGTCACCACTGAGTCTTTGTGCTTTTCTGTGCAATGTGGGCAGATCGTGATGGGAAGGGCGGGCAGGGTGCTGTACATAGCTTCCTGAAAACATCACAGCACACAGCAGTAGGCGGACCCTTTGGAGGATGAAAATAGAAAAATGCCTTGATGTGTAGATGTCAGTCTGGAGAAGTGGGCATTCCTAGGCAGGCTGCATTTGCATGCAGACCACCATAGGTAATGATCACATATGACGCTCTATTTGGCTTTCAATGCATTCAGTGAGAAGCTCAGTACAGTGAAATCAGAGCAACCAATTCCAGGACAGGAGAGGAGCCTGAACAACCGAGCAAGACTGAAGGTAAGCCTGGAGTTCAGCTTTAAGAGACCAAAAGGGAGAAAATGTAATTTTCCTATGTGCATTGGTGGTCCAGACAACACGTTACTTCCCAGGCATCAAAGACGCTATAGACACAATAGTTCAGCATTTCCATTTGGTAAAAACTATTTTGATGCACACGGCTTGTCAAGGCAAACTGGACCTATTTGGAAATGTCCTTTTATTGTGGCTCCCTGTGGCAGCCAATAACGTCAGCTAGGAAATGAACAGGGACTATACATTGCTATAGGTAGCTCCTTTGTAACAGCAATATGTTGAGGCGATCGAGAAAGAATGGAATGCCTATCCAATTTATGGAGTCCTAGGACTATATTCATATGTGTGCCTGTGTTTTTATATGTATCATTCAGTCAACTCTGGAATTGGAATCCATGTAGCTTTTATTTTGCTTTGTTGAACTTGTCTACTTTTGTGAACGTTCCTTCAATTTTGTTTTAAAAGAAAATCTGATTTAATAAATAAACAAATGGAAAGTATTGGGATTATCTGAAATAAATACTAAAACAGTCAAATACATTACATAAACATTTGTGCTTTTTTGATATAAACAGGAAGATTTTATTGATTTTATCCAAAAAAAGGAAAGTTCACAACGTCAAACATAAAATATTTCCATAATAGGTCAGATATTGCAAAGAGTGTTCAGCCAAGAAACTGAGACCAATCAACCAGATAGATGAATCAGTCAACTCCAAAAGGCAATGCACTGGAGAACTGGAGACTAGTGTTAAATAGTAATGTACAGCTGTTTTTCAGTTAAGCTGCATTCTGGTGCACATACGTACTAAGCCATCAAGGTCAAGAAAGAAATATGGCCTATTCAGTGTTTAAGGTGACTAAATGTAGGAAATTGGGAGAAAAGTGGAGTTGGGAACGTGAAACCCAGTGGAAGGCAGACCAGGTTTTTCATTTTCATGACCTTGAAAGATTACCTGGAAAGCAAACATCTGATTTACATTTTAACAAAGGGCAAGGATAAAAATGAACTTCTCCCATAGTTCTCTTTAGGATCACGGAAGGACATATACCAACATTCTCCCGTGACCCAAAACTCCGTATATAGCGAACTATTGCCCGCTATATACTGAGAGCACTGCAGCCGGGAAAGATCCTGACAATACTGACGAGATCCACCCAGCTGGCTGATTGACAACGAGCTCTGCCTATCTAGAGGCAGGGCCAGCTGTGACCACCCTCTCCCCCAATCCGTTCCTCCACTCAGCGCTGGAGGATCGGAGAGGGGAGGGAGGATCCCTGCGGGGAGCGGTGACTGACAGTCACCGCTCTCTGCAGGGAGATGATCGGGAAGTGAGTGAGCGGTGGTATGTTTTCACTCACTTCCCGATTAAAAAAGTGGACATGCGACAGTTTCAATGTCACACGTCGGCTCTAACTATGGGGATCAGTGTAATTCACTCAACCCATAGTTCTCCTTTAAATGTTCGATAACTAAAACATTCTTTATTATTAAAGAGGGCAGAGCAAAAGCATTGCTACAAGTTACTGCACTTTGTAAATGTCTAATTTAAAGGGTAAGTGCACTTTCTTACCCACCTTGCCTAGTCTTCTTGGCCTAAACTAACACCCCTTTCCATCTATACATTAGTTGAACAGCCACGGTCTGCACTGGTGTTTATATCACTCACATGAAACCTTCCTCATTGGCCAGTACAGTGAAACAACAGGTGAACGTTGATTTATCCCTCCCCAGAAGCATAAACACACCTTCCTATTGCTCCCCTGCTGCTCCTTTCAGCTGCCGGGGTGAATGGAAAGTCTGGTGTAAGCTAGAGTCAATCCTGTTTAACTCCTAATTGGTGCAGCACTGTCACATACAAAAAATAAATAAATCACATGTTGCTCCATACAGGGAAGCATTTCTATCAGTTCCAGCGCAGAATGAAGCAGAGGAGTGAAGGCAGGTACACGCTGCAGGCTGCTTTGTCTGAATGGACAAGTACAGGTGTGCTTAAAAGCTAGCAAAGAACACTAGCTATCTCATTAAAAGTGTCTGTCAATTTTTGATTGCCTGCCGCGGGGTTCTGATGACTGAGCGGACCAGTAGATGTGGCAAATGTGCAGTGACAGGTCTTATTCCCTTTCCTCTGTAGAAACAGGGCAAACAATAAGCACCTTTCTCTATAGGTTGAACTCAATGGACATGTGTCTTTTTTCAACCTGACTAATTATGTAACCTAATTAAGTGGAGATGTTCCAAGAAGCTAGAAAATCAAGTACCGAGAGTGAGTTATACTCACTACCATTACAGTAGACCAAGTCCACTGGTAGAAAGAAATGGGTACTCTGCTTCCCAAGACTGGGCCATATGTGTGCATGTTAACTAAACAAATCTGTTAAAAAAAAAAACCCTTAACTGACAGGACTCTTGATCTTTACATAAATCCATCACATAAAACCATTTCTGTGGCCTGAAAGACATTCTATGACTCTCAGGAAGCATTCATCCCGAGAGAAAATGCACTTTGGCTTATTTACTCTTTTAAATCTAGCAAATTACATTTAGTTTCCAGCCAAGTAATAAAGGCAAGTTATGCTTTGTCCCTAACCTGCATCCCTGCAATGTGTGATCACATCTGTTCTTCAAAAGATAACTGAAATATCAAACCACAAAATAAGGAAGAATAGAGTGCTGACAAATTCACTACCGATATACCTATCAAAGAATGACTTGCACCTGTCTCCAGAGGCATATTAGCCAGTAGCACAAACTTGAGCAGCCGAAGAGAACAGCTTTCAGTTTTTTCCAGGCTTGGAAAACCGGGTCACTGGTGGAAGGCTTCTAGACGGATTCTGTTTGCATCTTCAGGGTGGCGCAGTGCAATTCCATATCGGAGTAACATTTCAATATAAGGAGGCCAAAATTCTTCTTTAACTCTAATGTAAGGATCATGGGGAGAATCCATAACTTTGCTGATGAGGGTCTGAAAAATAATAACCAAGGTTTAGGCAAATTAGTATTTAGATTTCTTCACTTTCACTGAAATATGGAGTGGTATCTCAAAACAGGGTAACTTCTCCTTTATGGTCTCACGGCTCTCAGCATTTGTATAATCTCAGTGGCTAAAAGGGACAGAAATAGCATATAAGGGGCTTTCAAAGCAGCAGCTCTAAACATGAAAGGCATATTTCATATTCTGTTTATAAACGGGAGATCATATGGTGCCTGTTTTTCTCCAATCTGGCTTTCATATATAAAACTGCCAGGACTTTATTGAACAGGGCTGCCACTAGCAACACTCATTATATTGTCTAATGTGTCATATTCCTAATAAGCAGTAAATTAACTTTAAAACAACTCCTCGCTTCACCTTTGTAGCTGAAGGAACTGTGGAGAAACTCATCCTAAATGTTAACAAGAGTAATGCTGAAGTCTTTGCAGTCAAGTCTCGGAAATCTGCTATCCCCTCTTTCCTGTGCACCTGCTCTAAGCTTAGAAGGCTTGCAGGGGCAGCTGAGCTAATGAAATAAAACAAAGTGTTTTTTGTTGTAAACTTTGAGGATGAATTACTCCACAGTGCATCAGGTTCAGGAAAAATCCCCAGAGCTTAAGTCCACCTGGGAGTTCAGCTTTTACTAGAGTTTAAAGCATTATATGCTTTTAGTTTACTTAATATAAACTTTGTGCTATGATACAAACTGAAATTTTACCTTTTTATTTAATTTCCTTCCTAATGACCCCATAAAGATTCCTATTTATTGTGGTCACCTCCTTCCAATTTAATTGCTGTCACCTCCCAATTTACTCATCACTATATCAGCCAGCCTTACTGGTCAATAAGAATACTAATAATACAAGGGACTAGAGAGGATGGGACCAGGGAATGACACTACTACAAGTGTTTACCTTTAGTAATTATAGTAGCTCAGCACTGGGACACCCAAGCTGCAGGAAGGAGCTTGTAAAGGCACGTGCAGGCATTTCTGTGTACTTGCTTTTCATTGTTGGAGCCTATCTAAAACCTTCAGGGTACTAAAAGGTATCCTTTAAATATATTATAAAATTAATTTTGCATCTAAAATAAGAACGGTAGAATTCAATAAAGGTTTTCTTGAGATTTTATTATAACCCCTTCCTGACCGATGATGGAATTATTCCGTCAAAATTATTCAAATGGTTAAAGACTGATGACAGAATAATTCCATCATGTAGGAAAATGAGCATTGGTCTGTTGTTTCGTATTTTTTAAAACCACAAATAAGAACTCATATGTGTATGTGTCACAATATTATACAGGATTTATATAGCACCAACAGTTTGCGCAGCACTTTACAGTATAAGGAAGACATTACAATACAATTCAAGAAAAGATGGTAAGGAGGGTCCTGCTTGTGAGGGCCTACAATCACATACAATTAAAGCCCACTTTGTCTTTTAAAAAACGGTATATAATATGTGTAGGTGCAATGAATGAGGGAGATGGAAATTATGGTTAAACAAACACGTAGCAAAAATGGCAAATTGCTCAGGTCCCCAGGAACTAAAAAAATCTCTGAAGCTGTGTCACTAAGGGGATATGCATTCAGGTATTTGTGCACTTTTGTCTGCTGGCTGAGATGCAGTAGTAAAACTAAAGGCTGGGAGAGAGAATTGACTTCCTGTAAATTATAGAACCATAAAAATGCTTCTCTTTGGAAGTCATTATTCTTTTTGATTGTAGGTGTTGTGTAAATCAGGAGATCCACAATAACAAGTCTCCAATGTATCCATATAAATTGACGTCTCACTCTCTTATCTCAGTCAATGTCACAGTGACCCAAGCTTGCAGCCATTAAGAGGAGGCAAATGTTTCACAAAGTATAATCACTTAGACAATGACTTGGAGACTGAGGACAATGTCATAGTGAATTTGGCTGGGGAAAAAAAGCATCTGGATTAAGAAGAAAGAAAGTTATATTTTTTATGTTTCTTGTGCTATTAAAAAGGCAAGATTATTTAAATATTATTAGCTTTTCCTCGTAGTTTTTATCTAAAGCAAGATTTAAAGTGGGGAAGCGTTATACCCCTGATGTCCAGCCTGCGGCCCTTTGGCACTCACTGTGTGACCCTCAAAAGGGTTTTGCTACTTCCTTAGATTGGCTTGTAATAAATGGTTTGGTGTATTTGTTTCATATTATCATTGTTTACTTATAATGTAATTTTATAATTAAATTATTTATTTTGAATTAAACTGTATTAATGATATATTAATAACCTTTATTAAACTTTATATTGTTTTTTTCTGTCCTCTCCATCTCTTTTTTTTTGCACTGATGTTTTATAATGAATTATGCTAAAAGAAATGTCTAATGTGGTAATTTTTAAAGGGCCTTTAGGGAGCACAAATGTGGAAGCATTGATTTGTTAAGGGGCTTAATAGCAGTGCTCTCTAGCAGTCTATAATGTCAATGTTTTCCTAGTCTATGGCTGTTCTCTTTGAGCATGTCCCCGGTTTCCAACAACTCTTAGAGCAGCGGTAGGTAGCTGCTGCGGAACTACAAATCCCATTAGGCATTGCAAGATTCTTACAGCCATAGGCATGACCCCAGGGGCAGAGGTATGATGGGATTTGTACTATTACCACAGCTGAATGGCCAGCATTTGTCTACCCCTGCCTATATTATAATTACAGTTTCTAACCATCCCCTGTATGTTCGTAGTGTCTGACAATCTCATCTTCTATGTCTGCCATCTCTGACAGCTTAAAGCAGCATTACATTCACTGGATATTATGTGCCTCCCTTTACTGATAATGAGGCCCCCCATATCAAGTAAGTTGACCATAACTGTGTTGGAAACCCTGCCAGATTTTTAATGCTGTCTGTTTCCCTTTAGGGAGATTTCTTTTCACTTCCTGTACCAGTGACAACCGTTATTGTGGCAGGAAGTGAGGGAATATCTGCCCAAGAGGAACAAAGACCAAAATGAAATCTACCCAGTCTATCTATATATATATATATAAAAAAATATTTTGAAGACTGCATGTAGACATTATTTGCATCTAAACTTCATTTGTCCTTCAAAAGATAGCTGAAGAGTTTAGACAAATGCATTATAGAGATACTTCTGAAACCAGGTCATTGATAGAAGGCTTCTAGACATGGGCTTCCCTGTGGTTTTAACAGTCATAGATATGTGAAAAATAGAAGAGTACCTGTGTATGGCCACTCCTCTTCAGCTTGTACTTGCAAAGAAGATATGAAGCAAACAAGAAGAAAAATCTGTACAAGTCATGCTGAAGAAATGAAGAGGGTGGGCATAGCACTGACTCTCATTGACTTCAAAGCAGGACAAAGGTAACGGATTATTTTGATAGATCAATGCATTTGCATAGGAGACACCCCATCTTCATAAACCGCAGTAAAACGATTAAAGAATAACTTCAGAAAACAAATACAAATCATTCAATAAGCTATTAGGGCTATACAGAAAGCATTTGCTTGTGGAGCTTCCTCTATTTCAGCTTACTGCATTGCCATTCACATTCAGACTTACAAAGATGCTACAATCTGATTGGTAGCTGTATGAAATGTTATAGTGCTGTTTTTTTTAACGTTTTACATAAAACTCTGTGTTGAAGCAGCAAGCAGGATGTTACAGCACCACCAGGTTAGAGATAAAAAGACTGGGGTGGCATGGCGCATTCTGCGCAAATAAACAAACTGAACATCCCAACAGGTAGGCCATACGTGCTGTATGCATCTCAAGATTTCCTTTCCAGTTTTGACTGTAGTGTATCTAAACAGCCCTGCCTTATGGCATTTAAAATAGTAGTATTTGCTTACACTTAACCCCTGCACTACGGCTGTACGTTTTAAACTGGCGGAATATTGGCAGTGGTGTTTTGGAATTCCATTTTAAAAACGGCACTGTGTTTACATCGTCATTAGACAGCATAAATCACAGGCCAATCAGAATGGCTCTGTACCTAGTAATTGCTGTGATGACCAATCATATTGATCACAAATTTTAACATTAATAATGTCTTCATTTGACAGCCCTCCCCTTCCTCTGAGAACATACAACTAGAAAGGACTATCAATGAACATTTCAATGATATAAGGATTTATGAATGAAGGGTAGGAAGCAGCAACTTTGAGGTTTTTAATGTGGAATTGTTTTACTTCACGCCACCCAGTCTTGGTAGTGCCTGTGTAACCCCCTTCATCTCTTCCTCCCTCTGTGTATGACCTGCAAGCTAATGATACCCTGCATCTAGTGCACCATTACCAAGCTCCATGTTTTAACCACCTCAATAACATGTTTTTTTATTCCCCAAAAATTGTGTCCTTGGGCTGTCTATTTTTCAAAAACTTGGTGTCCATATGGTCCTGGCATTTTTATTTGTTTTAAAGGAGAGAGTAAAGACATTTTTTTTTAAAATGTTTTTTCATTTTTATAGTGAAAAATAAAAAAACTGTGGTTATTAAATATTACCAAAAGAACGCCCATCTCTCGAACAACAAATTATATAACATTCATTTGGGTAGAGTGTTGCATTACCGAGTAATTTACAAGGGGTTGTAATGTTAGGGGAATCCAGCAGGATCGCAGGACACAGGCTTTGCAAATAAAGTAAAGTTTATTAACTTAAATAGCTTCACAGCAGCAAAATAACAAAACAGTTAATCTTCACTGACCAGTTGGCCAACTCAAACAGCAACTCTTCAGTACCACACAAAAGAACTGTCTCACCGACATGAAGATTTCAGAGCTGCAATCGCAGTTTAAACAGTCCCAGACTTCAAGGGTAACTTTCCCAGTCTACAGATTTCCAGCAAGATTACTGACATTCAAGCTCACAGCAGTACACAGATCCCCACTCTCCAACCTCCTCCACACTACTCCTCACCTGCTAGCTACCACTTCCTGTCTTTTAAACACACTCTTCCTCCAGCAGGTGAGTTAACCCCAGTCTAAACAGAGGGGAACAGAGGGGAAATATAGCGTCCTTCCAGGACCCAGTCCCGGTGTCCTGTACAGGGTATACAGAGGCTGCTACTCAGTCAAAGCTGAACTTTTGGCTTTCCCTCCCCTAACCCCTGTAAAGTAATCGCTGCCATTGGAAAAACAAAAAAAACAAACCCTATTTACTTACCTAAATCTGTGCTCATGTGACACTACAGCCCTGAGTCTTCGGGTTTCCTTATTACTGCCAGTGTGACTTCCTATGGGCTTTCCAGCGGTCAAGTCCTCTCAGAATTCAGAAGAGTAATCTCAGCGGTAACTTCAGCAAAACTGGACTCCAGAGACTGCCCAGTATGGGCTCATCTACGTCTATGGATGACCGGTTCCCCGCCCCAAACATGGCACGTGCACGGGGGACCTAGGCGGCAGACTAAGTAAGCAAAATATTGCTTTAGAAGTAAAACAAAAAATGTGCCTAATGTGTTAGTGAGGGGATTTAAATTTTTCAAAAAGATGAGCTTTAACAACTACACGATGTACAATTTAATAGATAATTACCTCTAAAATATCTGCTAAAGGTGTCCATTCCACTTGTGGTAATTCAGCCGCACCCTGAAGACAGATAGGAAATACAAGTTACATTATGTTTTCTATATTTCACTTAATGCCGGTATTGAATCTTTCTTATAACATGCCTGTGAATGAGTCATTCCAGAGCAGAAAAACTAGGAATGGAAATGCAGTCCAGTGACCCATAAAAGCGTCCCTTCCCAGAAAGAAAAAGCAGGTATGTCTCGAGTCTTGCTAAAGTTTCAGTGGGACAACATCCCAAACTCTTCTTTATATTATCTTTTTTCTCTTAATTGAAGAGTGTCACTGTGCCCATTAAGCAGTTGCAATGTTATTAAGAACAACTTTATTGATAAACTGCCGATATGTTGTAAAATTTACAATTGTTAATTAAAAAAACAGAATTCCTCTGTGTGTCACTTTTATGGGTTATATTGAAGCGTGCCTTGGATGTGCCTCTGGGGCAAGATCATGTGTGCAGAAGGGGTACAAGCATTTTCTGGATTGGCAACTAGCACTTCACATTTAGCAACAGAATAATTTCCTTCTAGTTTCTGGGGACTGAACTGAGCAGCAGAAAAGAAATTGGACAGAGAACATTTGCTAGGGAACTAAATTGGGGTTTACAGAGGGGGGCTTCCTAGTATGCAGAAATAATAGGGTGATGAAAATGAAAGCAAAGTTGTCAAATGGTTTTAATGAGCAAAATAAGCTTCTGGTTGGACAAGTGATGCACTCTAGTGCCACATCTTACCATTAACTTTATTTCCTTTCCCCCCAATGTGCTGCTACAGTCTGCCAGATATCCTATACCAGAAATGCCCCCCCGGTGATAAATCACAAGGCAACAAGCATTGCACTGTTATAAAGAATGTGAGTATGTTTGCCCCATACCTGCAAGCTTTGCTCTTTCATGTTGTAGGGTTGGTAGCGGGAAAACAGTCAAGCAAGCTAAATGTATGGTTTTGTCTATACAACTAGAGGCTTATTTTGTCTTTTAAAACTATTTATAGGTGTGCTTTAAAGCCCAATTAAAGCGTTATCAACTATGATGTATTGTAGCTATGCTGCATAAACAGTCATTATTAAGGGCCTCTGTTTTTTTTTGCAGCATCATCGGACCACTGCTCAACAGAGTGCAGTGTTCCAGGGCTTCATCAGTCTAACTTCCCCCGCCTTGTGCTTCATCAGTCTAACTTCCCCCGCCTTGTGCTTCATCAGTCTAACTTCCCCCGCCTTGTGCTTCAATCAACGGTGTTCACATTTCCTAAACAATCCTGTTGATTGGAACACTGAGCAGGGGTTGTGCTGGACTGCTGAAGACCCAAACCACTGCGCTCTGTGTCAAGCAGTGCTCTGATTTTCTCGTTTCCTTCGGCTGGCACAGGCTATTTTAAACATTTGCTGCAGTAAATAGTACTGGTAAAAACTAGAAAAAGAAGCCCTTTAATCATTACAATTAGGGATGCACCAATACCATTTTTTCCAGACCGAGTATGAGTACCATGCTTAGCCTCAAGTACTCGCTTATACCAATTACGGACACCTTTTTTTTTTTGCGTCAGTTGTTCTAAAACAATACAGACTAATGATTTTAGGACAATGGTGGATAGCACCAGCTATGGAGGACTACAAATCCCAGCAATACATTATACAGCAATGCAGAATAATACAATCAGTTAGAGAGGACTACAAATCCCATCGATACATTATACAGCAATGCCGAATGGCAACTGGCAATAGAGGACTACAAATCCCAGCAATGCATTATTCATCAGTGCACTATAATATATATAATTATATATAATAATATTAAGCTACATACTCTGTGCTGCTTCGGGGTGCCAGCCTGAGGTCTCCAGCGGAGAATCTCAGGTGACTTTGCATTGTCTCAGGAGGGCTATGCAGGGTCTTAGGACGATGTGCAGGGTCTATGGTGGGCTGTGCGGGGGTCTCACCAGGGGTCCCGGTCAGTCTCATTGGCGGGTACCGGCAGTCAGGTTCCACAGGAAGGAGGAGGAGATTTGTGGCAGGGGCTGCAATGAGGCTCCATGATTCACAGGAAGGCTGCTGGGACCTTGCTGGGGACATCGGCAGCCTTCCTGTGAATGGTGGCGCTTGTTTAGAGCGCTGGCTTCAGTTTAAAAAAAGTGGTATCAGCGCTTAGTATTGGGGCATTTTCACGAGTACTCAGGGCAATGCCCAGTATCGGCACCGATACCGATGCATCCCTAATTACAATAATAATTCACAAAGCTTCAATTGGGCTATGAAACTTTATTTAACTTTAATGTTTTACACTTTGACAAAATGAAGGGAGGTAGACAAAAAATTACCTTTTTCCTCTTCACCCTGTCATTCTGTTCCTCCAGAAGAGGGAAGTTTTCCGATAGAAAGTCTCCAAGTGCAGCTAATAATTCATCCTTGTAGGCTCCCACTTTCTGAAGCTTAGTTTTTAGCTTCTCATGTATGCTTGATCAAGGGTTCAGATAAAATCAAGAAGATTATTAAAAACACACATTTTAACAAAAACTGACATTATCCTGCCCACAACAATCAGATTTTCCCTTCTATAGTCCTAGTACAGTATTAAGGAACCTTATTGGCCGCTATAAGAAAATATTCCTATACTCCCTTAAAGAATTGTTTTCTGGAAAGAACCCCATCTGAAAATAAATGTTTTTACTAAGCATATCATTCTGTGCTTCTCAAATAAAGCTGGTCACCCCGTTATTTTTTTTTTTGTTCCACCTAGGGGTGAACAAAAACACTCTGACTGATTCCTCCCTCCATGCTAAACAGTGAGGGTGGATAAATCTGGGCAGCCACTTGTAAGCAGCATCAGTCTTAAGTGGATGGATAAAAGGCAAGGTAGCAAAATCTATCTATCTATCCATCTATCTATCTAAATTGCAGAGAACCTGATCAAAGTGAAATGTAATCAATACAGAGCAATTCTGGCTTTATGAGAAGCTTGGGTAAAATACCTGCTTTGGGAAATACTGGATGCCTGATTCTTCAGCTCCTCTAGCTTGGCTGTGAGGGCATGCACTGACTTCTGCTGTTCATCCAACCAGCGTTCTTCTCTAGAAGACACAAAACACAATACAGGAAATGCTTCCATTGCACAATGTATGTAATATAGAAGAATATTTTATGGAACACCTCTGTTGCTAGTGTTCTGCAGTGCCTGTGCGGATACCTTGGATGGTTTGCTCAAACAAGGAACATATCCAAATAAAAACAGCAGACATAAAGTTGCCAGCAGATCTTCCCACCGTCTAACCGAAGATTTAAAAAAGAACAAATGCAGACACATTCTGATAGCAAAGATGCCGATGAGCAGTCTAATTTTTGGAAGACTTAAAGTACTTAAAGTGAGTAAAACATTTTTTGTTTTAACCTAGACAAAAACGGTTAACCCTTGCAGTGCGGGGGTAGCCCCACTGCAAGGGTTAGTACAATTTGTGTCTGGAGTTCTGCTTTAATGCATGGGGCATGTCGTAAGCTTTGGAACAGCCTTAAAACTGAATTCCTGCTAGGGATGCACCGATACCAGTTTTTCGGTATCGAGTACTGATATTTTTTTCCTGCTACATGTCGATACTGAATACCTATACCGGAAGTTTCATCAAGGAAGCCGGACGGCGAGTCATTACACTCTGCCCGGCTCCCTGATTAGCCGGGAATGACGAGAAAGCAATCAGGTGACGAGGAAGCATGGAGCTTTCAGGAAGCCGGGTAATGACTCGCCGCCCGGCTTCCTGATTGGCCGGGAAGCCGGCTCCATGTGCCCTGGTGATGAGAGAGCATGGAGACGGCCAATCAGGAAGCCAGGCGGCGTGTAATGACTCGCCACGCGGCTTTCTGATACCAGAAGTTCCGGTATCGGGAGCATTTAGGCGAGCACGAGTATCGCTGCATCCCTAAATTCTGGCTTGAACTAACCCTTACTGTCAATTATAATAGCCGTGGTAGCAGCATCTCTGTAAGCAGAACCATACACAAGCAGATTGTACTTCAGATTTATTAGAAGTCCAGTACTTGTTTATATAAATACTGTAGACACGACTGTGCCAAGCAGGACATCCACTGGTGCTGCTCAAGCATTGTGTGTGCTGGCCATATGTCTGCGGCATTTTAGAGAGGTAAGAAGGGATCTCAATGAAGATCAATACATCATATACTGGACTCCTGAGTTTAGCTGTACCCCTAACCCCCCCCGCCCCCACGGAACCAGCCTGCAGGAAGGGAGCCCTGTAACATATTTATTATAGCGGCATACTTCTCCAGATCACTCTTCAGTTTCTTGTTCTTGGCTCGGACGTTGGAGAGCATCATTTCAAGTTCCTGATCTGTTGATTTCAGCTGCAAAACAAACAACCAGTTACCACACTGTAGCTAATATATATGAAACTGTAAAACAGCCTGACAAGGACTCTAGATTTTGGAGTTTTATTTAATGTCTTTAGGTTTAGGCTACATTCACGCTAGGGTCCGATTAGATGCGTTTAAAATGGTTTTCTAAACGCATATATATGCATTTAATGATTTCCAATGGATCTATTCACACATTGCGTCTAGATGCTCAGGTGCGTCCAGGAATCAATTTTAATTTCTAAACGCTCCCAAACGCATGTAAACGCAAGACCGGTTTATTTGCTGAAATCTCATTGGCTACTTCAATGGACAAACGACAGATGCATCTAAGCATGCATAATTTTTTGCATCTATCTAGCCTGACAGATTTTGCAGACAGATCTCCCCAAAAACCCGTAACTGGCCAATGTAAATGAAGCTTAAATTTGAATAAGCAAATGTCTAAATAGAAGAATAATGTGTATTCCTACTTAATCTTGGTGTGCTTTGTGTATTTCTTCCAGATCTGTGCTTCCTGTAATAAAGACCAGTCCCTGCTGCTCTCTCTTCTTGTACAAGGAGACTGGTCTGGTCTTTTCCCCCTCCTGTAGTTTCCTGCAGACAGTCTGTAGTGAGTGGGGCCTTCTGGGCCCCTCCCACAGCTCTGCTGTCTACTTATATGTACAGCACAGTGATATCTTGACTACCTTTACAGCAGAATAACTGGGTTTGCAAAGGCATTTGGTACGCAGAAAGTGGATTTATATCCTATGGCTATTAAGTAATATATTTGAATCAGCTGACTGGCAGCGATCTGGGTGAAGTGACCACAATATATCACATCCCCACTTCAAGTGTTCTTTCCTTTATATTGCAGAATGTGGGAAATTCCTCAAGGGCCCATTCACGGACAGCATTGCTTTAATTGCATTATATCATGTGTTTAACGCGCGCTATCGCACAGCACACCTAGTGTACATTAACGTGTGCCTCCTGGCGGCCTTCCTTTGTGCTGCAACACATAGTACCCCAATCCTGTGCAAAAACACAAAAAAGAAGCACTGTTCCTCCACGACTCAGGAAAGGAATGAGCTAGGTGCTTGCCACTGGGAGCACGTTCTCTCTCCAATATGAGCCCATACAAATAGAAGAAAAGCTGGCTGCACACTGGGATAGTTTATTCAAACGTGTACCACATCACTGGTGTCCCGCCCAAGGTCCGCCCCCTCTGTCACGTTTCAACCAATCACGCGCTTAGTCGTAGATATCTCTACGACTAGCCCATGAATGGGTGAAACACGTTAGAGGGGGCGGAACTTGGGCGGGACACCAGTGATGTGGTATAAGTTTCAAAAAAAATATTCCAGTGGAATCCGCTGTGCGGCCAGCTTTTCTGGCTGCCGCAAATACAGGTTTATTTTATTCTGTATTCAAATGTGTGCGTCCGCAGTACCGTGTGCTGTGGTAAAAAAGTCGTGCATGCTACATTTTTCACCACACTGCAACTTTTGCAGAACTGTACAGCCAGGAGGTGAGTTTAGGTGCCATTTAAATTAATTAAGCACACATTAACATGCAATGACTTACGCTATAGTCTAATAGGGCCCTAAACATACTGTACTGCTACAGAATGAACATTTTCCTCCATGTAGATGCGGGAACTTGTGAACGCTGCACTCTCTGACAATGTCCAGCCTTGCAATGTGTCAGTAGGATCCCAGGCAATCTAATAGCAAGGTGTCACAGTCTAATAACTAGCTCCATGTAAACACAGACAACCAGGGACAAAAGACTTCATAAAAATAAACATGATATCATACCCTGACAGATCAGGAGTTTCATTAGGCAATTTCCAGTGATAATAAAAGAAAATTCGATTTTTATGAACTGTGACATGAGCTCATGAATCGCTGGTAAAAAAAACCAAAACCTGTCGTGTTGCGCTGCTACGCTAGCTGACGTCAGCCAAGCAGAGTATGTTTTCCGGGCAATTTACTGCTGGAGCACTAAAAGGAAGTGACTGAGCGCAGTTCTGCTTATAGAAACGATCCTGTGGAAAAGTCAACCTAATCAATAAGTATTCTAACAGGAAAGAACATTGGTTCATATTCTTCCCAACGCAAGCCTGCCAACAAACCATACAGCTTATGGGAAATCCAATGAGAGGGTTACCTCTTCTTTTCCAGCGGCTAGCAGAATATCCTGGTTCTGGGAGATTACTAAGAAACATAAAATAAATAGTAGTTAATATTTTGGTTTCCATGGGAACATATTGACAGAAGACAGCTTCTCAATTTCCTCACTGTCTATGAAATCAAGACACATGTGAACCGTGCCAACGATGACAGCATCACCCACAACGCTGGATGTCACAAATAGGTGAAGGACCTAACCATGGAGGCCTTTTAATTGGGAAGTAGCTGGTATTTTCCAACCCACGTGAAGAGACTAACGAGGAAAAACTGATGAATGGATTTTATTCTATGCTCTTAGAATTTGGAAGAGGATGCAATCTATTCTCGTTAAATCTTCTCACTGTCTCCATAAAAATCACATGTATGCTCATCGGATTGTTGAGGTCATCGGATAAAGGGCAGGTCTTATGGGAAACATTACTAAGATATTTAAGCCAGAGTGAGCCAGACACAAAGCAGCACAGAAGCAGATCTACGTGAACAATTAAACGGCTCAGGAAAATATTAGAGCAGACATTTTTTACTCATGGATTCACTGGACCGGTAAAAGGTTATTGGGGGTTATTTAAGAAATAAAAAGGAGGATTTGTTTACGAGCGAGAAGTGATTTAAAGCGATACGTCATTAAATATATAAAATAAAAAAATAAAAAGATTTCAAGCAGATACGAGGCTCATTAGCTACCTGGAAAATATCCAATTCTTTGTATTTTTTAACTACAATTATTCAAAGTCAGCTCTGCTTCCATTGAGGCTGCCTAAGGGCTCATGCACATGGGTGTGCAAATTCATATTTGCATACAGCGCAAAACACGTCTGTATTTGCTGCGCCCGTGAGCCGCAGCTGCTGTGGCTTTCTGTATGGAATTTATGGACAGAAAACGCTGTACCTTTGTAAACACCATTGCACGGGCGAGCGTTTCTGAATGCGGAAGTGTTTGCATTTGGAAACTTATGCCTGGTACTGGTGTTTTGGGCATACACCCGGATACGGTGTATTCTGTCCATGCATTCCAAAGTACAGAAAACTGCAGCAGCTGCGGCTCCTGGGTGCCACAAATACAGGTGTATTTTACGCTGTATGCACATGTCTGTATTTGCTCCCATGTGCATGAACCCTAAAGCTGGTCACACACATGCTGCAATCTGACTTTACAATCGAATTCATGAGAATCTGTCATTAAAAATACCAGTAGCAGCTTCTTAGCGCTCCCGTTTTTGGCCAAAGCCACAACCCTATAAACAGGTAACGCTCTGACACTTGTTTTTGCTTGCTACTAGCTCCTGCCACCCATATTCCTGCTGGCAAACACTATGAATGGGCTGCCTCACTGTCCAATAACAATATGTAGGTGGCAGGATAAGGCGGGACAAGCTACTGCAATATTAGGAAGTGCTGAATCTTTGCCTGTCAGAACACCTGGGATTTGGCTGTAAAAGTAAAGATGGATATACTGTACACTGTTTCAGAATTTCATTTGAAAACTGTCATTTTCAGAACATTCATTAGATTTTCTAATAGTTAAGGAGAGAGCGTCACAGAAGTATATTTACTAATGTCCTCCTGTGACCCAAAACGCGGAGCCGTGCTGCAGCCGGGAAGGTTCCTGACAATATCCTCTAGAGGCAGAGCCAGCTGTGCACGCCCCCTCCCCTGTTTATCCTTCCAATGAACACTGGAGGAATGGAGGGGGAATCTCTGAGTGACACAATTGCAATACCTTTGTCACGCTTGCGACAAGTGTGAATGGGGGTTTATAGAGTGGACTGACCCATTAAAAAGAAAACCTGTACTGACAAAGAATGTAAAGATTGCCATTGTCGACCATTCATTTAAAAAAAAAAAAAAAAGAGTCTTCCCATTAGATTATACGTGCATTTAACATTATTTTATACATGTTATTTACCTTAAAAGTCTGCTGGCAGCTTGAATATGTCAGCAGTCCCAGCAAGCAGACTCAGAGCTCTCACTCAAATGACATGATATAGTATTCTACATCAGGGCTCAAAATTTCAGGTCCTGAGCTACTAGCCAGGCCTTCAAAGTTACTCGCCACCAGTTGCCCTGCAAAACACAAACGAACACACACAGGGCACAACACGCACACAGCACAACACACATACAGCCACAGCACAACGCACAGGGCATTACACATACAGCCACAGCACAACGCACAGAGCATTACACGTACACATTTCATCTAAATGAAAGGGGAAGAAAAATAGTTGAAAAAATACTTACAAAATTTAAACAAATAGTAAAATTTAAAGAAAAGATATTTTAAAGAAAAGCCCAATTGGGCGGAGCTTGCAGTGACCGCTAGCTCCGCCCAACTGTTTCCTATTGGCCGGCACCTGCCAGAGTCTTCTAGTAGGTCCCGGCCAAAGAATAACAACTGGGCAGAGCCGGCCGTCACCACCCAGTTGTTATTGTTTAATGACAGATCAGCGTCCCCAGGTCATTTGGGGATGCTGATCTGTCATTATAACTGGGCGGGGCCAGCCGTGAGATCACAGCTGGCTCCGCCCACCTGTCATTTGCGGGCCGTTCTCCCCGCTTCAACTCAGTTGAGCGGAAGCATATGCCTTTGGCTTGGTCGCCTTTGGTTGTGAATAGCCCGTACAGCAGTCCTTCGGTTCGACTGAACCGAAGGGCTCCGGCAGCTGAAGAGAGCCGAAGCTACGGCAGGATCCTTCAGCTCTTTAGTGAATAACCCCCACAGATTTTATTCCTGAATAGAAGATTAATTAGATAAATGCAAAATGCTTAAAAAGTGTACCCATAACCAAACAGAAAAGTTTCTGAATCTGTTACACCATGCACATCATTACTGTCACATCATGTGACAGTTTGATATAGGATAATTTTTTTCAGGCCCTTTGGAATATACTTTCTGTGTAATTCGGTTTATTTGGCGAGTAACACATGTAAAACAACAAAGAAGTTGTGTCTGAAAGAAGAATGAACTTTTGCTCGTAGCAAACAACTGGATTCTCCCCATCATACTCCTTGTACATAAACACAATGGAAACAAGATGAATGTAAAAGAAATACTTTGCTAGGCAATTACTATTTGTGTGATCTGGATTGATTATTGAGAAGAGTTTGAGAGTATATTATTACTTTAAGGTACCAGCAGGCAACTTGCTGTATCTGCTCTAAGGCAACACCTTTATTTCAAAATGATGAAATCAAGTGATGCGATTTTAGAGGGAAAAACACCTGCTCTGTGCATTTTTAGCGTAGATAAAAGGTAAGTGAAAATGCACATGAATGCATGATGAGATCTGCACCATTATAGTCAATAGTACTGTTCACATATCCAGTTTTTCCAGTGCATTTTATGTCATGGAAACTGCATTTTTGCTACATTTTGACAAAAAAAAAACTCTCCAAAAAAACACCATAGAAGACAGAAAATCATTAAAAAAACACAATAAATGTATTCTAACACAAGAGATACACAAACACATTAAAAACAAGTTTGACATATGTTATAAAAACAGCCAATTCTGAGGTCTGTATAAAATCTATAGCTGGCTATACACACACGGGCAGTTTTCTTTCAATATCAACTGGTTTTCCCCTTCAAAAAACTTACTATGGCAGCCTAGAAATATAAATAGGATGTATTATATATAATTAGTTTCTGCAATTGAAAAATCATTGAAAAAGCTGTAAAAATTGCCCTGTGTATGGTCAACATATCACTTAGAGAAAGAAGAGTTCAAACATCCATCCATATAGGAAGTGTATGGCCTGCAGCACCAATAGGAAAAGACCGTATACAGACCCTGTATTGACAAACTGTTACATAAGTCTCTCTTCCTTTTCTTAGGAACTGTGTGAGCCTCATATACCAGCAATTAGTTGTGGTTGTCAGATCAGATTTGCCCAGGGAATCCATTTACATGTAATGAATGGCGTGGCAACTCTCTACAAGTGGTAGTGCTGACAAATATTGCACATGCGCCACCTTTGTCACTATCAGGAAGTCAGGCCAGAAAATGATCTGTAGCTGAAAGGGGCTGAAAAGGGCTTCAGGGGCTCAGCAGCACTGATATGTAAAAAAAAAAAAAAAAAAAAGTCGTCAAGCAAAGCCTAATCAAACTAAAGGGTTTAGATCTACTTTAGGAATTTCGGGAGGTAAACAATAGGAGAGGACATATACTGAAATGTTTTTTTTTTAAGTTATTTTAATGCAGCTGCTTGCTGTTCTATATATTGCATTTCATATACAGATTTTTAAATGTGCTTTTTAGCAGACACGGGGGAAGGGGGTGCCTCTCCTCTGACTAATGGAGTTGTGGGTGTTTTATGAACAGACCTGAATAGCAGCTGATCAAATTATATATAGTTTTTTTTAATGAAAGTACAATATAGAACAATCTTATCTGGAAACTGAAGTATAAGATGTGACTGGTTGGTGTCTGACGTCATCAAGGGGCCGACTGCAAAAACCCAGATGATACAGTCAACTCCCTATGAAGAAGATGGTGGCGCAGGGCTGGGTGTAAAACAGCAAAGGGTCAGATCCCTACAGAACACCGCTGGATCATAGACACGTGAGCATGTTTTTGGTGAAAACGGTAAGGGGTGGGGGAGTGATGTTCCTCTTTGATAGTGTATTCGGACTTCCACATAGAGGTACAGAACATCTCCATTCATCCCAATCTGTTATGAGCAGTGGACGCCTGAGCTGGAAATGGCTTTTGTATGCAGTTTGTGGAAGCTGACTGACTTGCTCTATGTGTACGGCACCGCTCACCTCTGGAACAGTGTTATGTACATCGGTAAGTTTGCACAAATGTGTACTTTCCACTCATGTACACAGCGCTTCAAGCAAAGATTTACTGTACAGGAGAAGAGAAGCTGCAGAAGAGTTTATTAAAGTCCTGCACATGCTTCAGTATGCTATCATGTTCATAAAGCTGAACTCCAGGTAGAAATGCTATCTAATTAAATAAAAGGTTAATAGGGGGGATTTATCAGAACTGGAGCAGACAAAATCTGGAGCAGATGTGCATGGCAACTATTCAGCTTCTCTGTCTCAATTTATAACAGAACAATCTGAAAAGAGAAGCCGATTGGTTGCCATACACAGCTGCTGCAGATTTTGTTTGCTCCAGTTGTGATAAATTCCCTCGAATGTCTTACTTTGGTGAAACATGTTTTTATATTGTTAAAGAATTATGCACCAACAAAGTAACCCCCAATTGAATGAATAGTGATCAGGCCTCAGTCTCCAGTATTTCCTTTTTAATACAACTGGTAGCTGCTATGTCCGCTATTCCCCAGGCCACTGTCAAAAAAATCCCCTCTGTAGTTCCTATTAACATTGAGGCGCAATAACATTACCCCAAAGCTTAATGTAGTGGGTAGGGCCAGTCATCTCAGGCCCCCAGTCTGATCTGCCCACTTACTACACGTGACAGCTCAGGAGACTCTTGGTCTGCCCTGCCCACCATGAACGCTTTGACCAACAAGCCAGGAACCTCTCGATCTGTCACACACATCCCTGTCTGTTTACATTGAGACACTCCCTTGTCCCCAATCCCACCCACTGCATGATGGGGCTTGTAGTTTCTCCAAGCAGTGGAGTACAGTCAAGGGATATGGCATATTTGCTTTTTTTATACTTCCCCTGGATACCCGTAGCTGCCGGTTATGTTATATCACAGAGTTTAAGAAGGTATTTTTCTAAGAAACTGAGGCGTTTTCACATAAAAATTAGTTTTTATTATTTACATACGTAATGGATGTTTTTGTGGAAATTAACTTGTATGCAACAGTATAGCTTTAACGCAGACAGCATTTAAATGTCAGAATTTACATCATATACAAAGTAATTAGTAGGATGAGGTTATGCCCCGATGCCCCTGCAGCCAAATGTGAATTCAGAGCCCTACAAAGCAGAGACACAGAGTAAATGTATGTATTAATTCAGTCTTTCGTAGCTCTACTCTCTATGTATGTGGAATACATACATTGTTTGTGGGATTTTTGTTGGAAATAATGCTATGACAATCTGACCTTGTCTGTTTTAAGGAGACAATACTGAACGTTGCAGTACTTTTATATGCAACACATTTTGGTTCCCTTTGGCCAAACATGGACAATATAAGCTGACTAGTAATCCAAGAAATACTTACTGTCTGGTGTCTTATTTTGCCACTGTTCACATTCTGCTGTTAGTGCCTTTACTTTCAGCATGAGTAGATGCAGCTAGATATGAAATACAGAAGCAAAGTTTAATGACAAAATTCTCCATGTATGTTCCTGCAACAGGGTGTAGCAGAAGCCAAGATCTACAGAAGTGAAAAAAAAAGACAGATGTTAAATGAACCGTTAAAGCAGACTACTTTTTTTTTAATATATATTTATGGTACTGTTTTCATTATATAGTAAAAAAAAATAACCCCCCCCCGTGGGGTCACAAAAGAAAGCTCTATCTGTCCCCAAAATTTTTTAACATATATTGCAAGGCTATAGTCAGGTCATTCTGACTGGTGAAATTTTTGACTGACTGGTGAGACACCGCCAAATTTTTCAAGCCCTGCCTATAACTAACTTTACAAGTCTGCAAGAACAAATTCCAGACATATCTCAATGTACAGTGTATACAGTATAATCTTTCAAAAACTGCACCATTTATCATTCAAAAGCAGACCCTGAGCTTCAGTCAAGTGACTGTGCCTAGGCCTGAGAGAAGCATCTTGGGTCAATAATGTCATCAGTCTGTTGCATGCAGGAGGAAGAAATTCCCCAGTCTCCCCTGACACAGTGATTACT